GTAAGACAAGCACCCCTTCCTTCAGGCTGAACGTACTTTTCTGTGTAGCAGTATTTCACGAGATAGAGATTGAAGAGCTGGTGCTTAACGCTGCCCTTGGAGACTTGCCCAGAAGTTTTTACACTGCTCAGCACCCTGTGCATAAAAGGGCAGCAGTGGCAACTCTCCTGGTGAACTCCCGCTGGCCAAGCTGTCTGGCAGGTATAGCTAAAAAAGCCATTTTTGGAAAATATTGTCTTTTTATAGCTTATCTCATTGCAGACAGCTGCCTCTCGTCTCTAGAAATAGCAAGATTTAAGAGCCATATTTGCAGGGACAGATTTTAAAGGTTCCATCTTCTAAGAAACAACCTACACATCCAGAAACACGAGGCCAGATTTGTTTTGATACTGGAACCCCCTTCCATATGCTAACCATGCCCACGGATTTGCAAAAACCCTGCTCTGAAAATGGGATGTTCATTCAGCAACAGGCGACAAGTAACTTGCGTTTGCCTTCCTATAGAGTCTGTTCCCAGCACAATCAGCAGCAAAATAGCACACAATTAGGTTGATATTGCCTTTTGCTGAAAATAGTTGGCATTTTGTAAGTAAAACAGTGGTGGTGAAGAGCGTTAAACACTAGAAAAACAAGACAAATAAGTTAAGTAAAAATACCCGGCAGCTACAGCTGATCAGCACCTCTCTGTTGTTCCTCTTCCGCAGGAGCAAGCCAGGATCAGATCCCAAAGCATTGTTATGATTCATTCGAGGCAATAAAGACAGAGCCATGGGCTGCATTCCCCGGTGGGTTCCACGGCTGCAAACCCCAACACCATCAGCCTGGAGGAGCCTCTTCAGCCACCCCACCTCAATCACGGTTGTGAGTGCAACAGGGATAACATTGTTTTCCTACCTTTTAGCAATAACAAGCTTTTTTAGATATGAAGCAGCAAATTCCTATGAATTTAACACTGGAAGAGCCGATGTTAAGGACGTAAATGGCTCTGAATCTAACAGGGCCTTGCAAAACTTTCACAGTACCACTTTTTACTAGCAACAGTTGGACCAGTTGTCTACAGCATCTTCCTCATTATGAGAATTTTTTTAATTTATTTTTTTTTAAAAACTGAATGAAGGGGTACTAAAGACAACGACCTGCTGTGAAATGACCGAAAATCCCATGCAAACAACCCATTAGCAGTGTTCAAATGCAATTTAAATTACTAGTTGTTAAAGTGCTCTTCAATTTCATGGTAAGTTTCCAAGGAAAATTACATGCTATGTACTATTTAATTGATTGTTTTCTATTTCTTAACATCTGTTTATTCCCTCCTCCTGTCTTTTCCTTAATTTCAAGGGATGATAATGACTTTTCAGGGAGGAAGGGGGAATGGCTAACAGAGTTGAAGAGGGATTTACCTGAAGAACAAGGATGTAGGAGGGAATTGGCTGCCAAAAATGGGCAGCTTCACTGGAACTCATCCCTGTGATATTTTTGCAGTAGGGGTGTGAGACAGCACAGCACAAGGACTCCTTTCCTCCTCACCACAGGCAGCCAGGCTTTTGAAACCTGATGTTTCTTTAAAATATAGTCAACCCCCCGTGTCAAGCAATAAGCAACTGGGGAGCCTTACGCACAGTTAAATATTAGAAGATGGTGGTAAAGCAACAAGAGCAACTTGTTTCCTCCTCCCAGGCACACTAGTCCTTGAACCAACACACTCACTGGAGGCAAGCAAACGTTTCTCATTTGGGAGATCTCATCCCAAATGCAAATACCTAGTTCACAGGAGCAAATGCCCCCCCCTCAAAGTTGACTGAAGAATTAGGCTGTGAGTGAGACCTCCTGCTGCTTGCAACAGCTGTTACACAGGAATGTGTATTATAAAGCTAATAACAACAGGCACTTCTTAAAAGCCTGCACTCTGCTTCAATCCTAGGAAGGAGTAGCAGTACAATTAGGTAAGGTGTCATCTGGAAATTCCTGAAGTAACAATATTTGTTGGGATGTCACACACTAGCAACATATATCAACTTTATGAAATACCCAGCATGACTTGGTTTACACATTTAAGTAACAATTACAGAGATATTTCGTGCTCAGAAAGGTATGACTTTATTAGAGTAAGGGAAATGGGTTTAACAGTACCACTTGGCATGAGGCTGTGAAGCATTCGCCTGTCTGCAGGAGCTGAGCATGAACCATCATGTAGAATCCAGAGATTTCCACTTTTCCCAAGTTTGCCACACGGTGCCTCAGTTTCTACGCCTGCACACCAGGATAATACAGATTTCCTCAGCCTGTGGGCACAATTTAGTGTTTAAGAACTCTGAAACGTTTGGCTACAGAAATGCTAAGTCAGATGTGTAGAGCCACCTCAGATGATAACCTTGTCTTGCCTTCGCCCCTTCCACGCCCACATGTGGTAGCCCTACGCTCTCTGGCACAGCTTCTCTTACCTGTTGTGGGGCACATGCACCCAGCCCTTGGTGCACACTAAATCCCCTCACAGCACCCGAATCACACAGCAACGGTGTCACCACTTCACCATGTCCTCTGCGGTGCCAGCCCTGGATCAATCGGTGCAACAGCTGGGATGAAGGATGGGCTGTGAACCAATCCTCCTTACACGGGAGCTAAAGAAAATCCTGTGCAATTAATACATCATTAGAAGTGATTGAGGGAAGCTTAAGAAAGGCAGGCATGGAGCTCTCTGAGCACACTCGAGGTCCAGAGCCATGGAAAGCTTCTCAGCCTTGAGTGTTTACTGGGTGCCAGGCTGCAGGAGCAAAAACCTTTAGACAGCTGTATTAATTTACAGGTCAGACCCTTAATGGCCGTTCTCCTGGAGCAGAAGAAAATCCACTGTGGATCCTGGTTAGCATCAGTGATCACTGGAGCTGCCCAGGTCCTGGAAAAATGCCAGATGGAGAGTCCTGGCAGCCTGTGGTCCCAGCCATGGGCATCCTCCATCCTCCAGAGCTCCTCCAGCCCTGCCCAGCACCCATCTGGGGGGACACAGGCAGCACGTGGGGAGCTCATCCTTCACAGTCCATCCAGCTCTCAAGTCACGTCCTTGTGGTGATAAGTTGTTGCACAGAGAAGGATCAGCACATGAAGATTAAACAGCCCCAACGTGCTTCCCCAGGTGTGGGGATAGGTCTGGGTGCCATAATCCCCAGAGTCCTGGATTATGGCACCCAGGCACTGATCATCCTTGTCTTCCAACAAGCAGCCTGGCCTGGAGAGCAGGAAAGGGGGGAAACTGCGAGGGGAACAGAACATCATCATTTACAGTCCTGCCGTGCTGTCCCCGAAACACCAAGCTCGGCCACAAGCAGCTGGCGAAGCCTGGAGGTGCCACATCCAAGCGCCACCAGAAGCAGGGGCTGACCCGGGGCAGGGCTGAGCAGGGGGAGCGCTGCGTGGGGAGGAGGCATCGCCCGTCGTGCAGGGCCACGGGCAAAGGCGAAGCAGAGCGCACGAGGAGCCACACAGGCCGCCGGCTCGCTGCCCGCCACAGCCCGGCACCACCACCGAGCACGGGTGGCTCCTTGGCGAGTCGCTGGGCTGAGGCTTCAGCCTCCAGCGCCCTGCTTTCCAACCCATCACCTACACCGTCCGTTCAGGCGGCACAGTCTTTAGGACAGCAGTTCTTTCCTTCGCACCAGCACCAAGCCCAGACCAGCAGGGCCCTGACACCAAAAGCTGTGGTAATCCAAGTAGCTTGTTTAAACAACAAGGATTCAAATGCAGCTAAAGACTATAAACTCCCAACACGTCTGACCTGCAGGAATAGGCTCCAGCAGTCCCTTCATCACCTTTTGGAGCTGAGTGCTTTCCAGCTCACAGCCCATCCTCATGCAAACTATCTTTCCCTGGCCGGAACAATCAAGCCAGTTTTGCACCTCAAGGACCAGCTGCCAATCCACATCTCTGGGAAACCAAACCTCACACTGAGTATTAATCCCTATTTAAAAGGGCAAAAGAAAACCAACAAGAGATTTACCTTCCTAACAAAGGTCTTAAATTTAAAACAGTGAGAGTATGGTAACAACAGGTTGGAATCAGCCTGGAAATGCCAGTTAGCCAAGAAGATACAAGCATCACTAACCAGCAGAAGGAACTATAAAGGGTTTTTCACCAACGCCCCTTCCCAAGTAAAAGGACAAACTGCAGTGCTTTCTGCCCGAGGCACGGGACCAGATGCTACGCAACCCCCGGAGCAGCGTTAAAAGCTCTCTATATGTGTTGCATGCTCCAGATGACAAGAGGAATGTGGGACAGTGGACCTCCACCCCAGATTCCCTGGCATGGTTTTAGCTGCCATGAATAAAACAGGAATCAGAGCATCTTCCAGGTTCCCCCCACGCCCCTGACTGTCTGGTTGAACTGCAGTTTCCTTTCAGGAAAGAGAAAGAGGGGTAAAAAGAAAAAAAAGAGAAGCAGCCAGCTGCAATATCAGTCAGATTAAAAACTACACAGTAAGTAAAAATAAAGAACAACAGGAAAAACCAGACACTGAACCTTCATCCAGTTACAGCAGCTAAACTTCTTCAGGTCCCTAACAAAACAGAGTTAAATATTAACATTTGAGGGAAATATATCCATACATTATACAGCCTTTTAAACACACACTCTTGCTTAAGAGACAGAAATCATACTTAAGCTATATTTTATTTGCTGACCACATGCATATAATACTCATTTAACTCCACAGTGCCCTGCTGCCTTGCTGCATTAACCAGTGAAATTAAAAGGAAGAGCATGACTGAAAGGGAGCTGGCTTAAATTATCTTTATACCTAGGCCTGAAGAAACATTTTGCCTTTGAGACCAATCCTGTAAGCCAACTTTCCCTGCTACAGAAGGTTTCATTGGGTCCCTTGCTGTTGACTGGTGATCCACATGCCTGCCTCCACCATCAGTGCACACACTTTGATGCCATCCATCTAACTAAAAAAAACCAAAACAAAAAAAATCCCAAGTTGCTTGCTAAAGCAGCAATGATGCACTTACCAGCATCCAGGCAAGCTCCTTCACTAAGACGCTTCCCTCTCGAGCAGATCAAATTTGGAACAAGGTCCAGGAACAAGAGAGAACTGAAAACTGACCACAACAAGCTTCCAAAACAAGAAAAGGGGGAAAAAAAAAAAAAAAACAACCTTACTACAGGAATTCAGATCCTGCTTCCACCAGACCCTGAGTCACCTCCCCTCCCTTGCAATAGATCAGAGCAATGGGTAAACATTTCCAAATATGGAGATCAAAACTCCAAAGGATGTCAAAAAAAAAATCACCCTTCTCTCCCTGGCTTTGGCACAGGGATGACTTGCCCCTCTGGAGCCTGAGCTGAGCACATCACTGTTACTGACCTACACACAGCCTGGACACAGGGCCAGGCGTCACCATCTTGACCTGCGCTTTGGAGGGTCCTGGCTCAACGGGTGACACTGCATCTCTGTCACCTCCCAGGGATGCACAGGGAGATGCAATAGGGGCAGCTCCAGAAGCCGTCATTCCTCGTCCCCTACCACAAACCTCCTCCTCGTCCCTTGACTCATCAGCAGAAAACCCCCTAGAACCATTTTTTTGGAGTGTTCTTTGGAGACGAATAGGCAAATTGAGGCTGTGTTTATAGCGACAACAGCTTGGCACCAGGAAAAGTAAGGATCAGCCATCAGTCCCACTGGAGGTCCTACTGCTGGGTCCCACACCAACTGCTCACCTGGGGAAGAGAAATCTCCCCTGACCTGGGTCATCTAGCCAGTGCTTTGCAAAAAGCATGTATTTGATTTTGCTTTATGGAAAAAAAAAAAAAAACCCAAAACAAAACATAAAAACAAAACACAAACACCCACAGCTCTGCAGAGAGGAACACATTGCTTGGAGAAGGCAAGATGTCCCTGCAGGGACAGGAAGCCCCAGGATGGCAGCACCCCTCAGTCCCTGCTGCCAGGGGGGTAATAGGGGAGCACCCAGCCCCCCCCCCACTCCTGGGAGAGGGGCTTGCAGGTCAACACTCAAACCCACACAGCAAATTTAGGAGGCAGAACAGTTATACTTCGAGGGCACAACTGTCCCTGCAGAGCCTGCCTGCACACGGGAGCGATATACCCATGCCACTGTTCCCATGGGCATCGCTCCTCAGCTGCAACAGCCGACCTGGGGGCAGCAGGGAGGTGACTACACCTGCCAGCACGGGATGACAGCCTCAGGCTGCAGCCCCCGGCTCCCCAGCCGGCAGCCTCTCAGGAATGTGCAAATCAGGACCCTTTCAAGGGGAACAGGCTGCCGAGGCGATCCAACCAGACCAGAGTGATTCCCCAGCACCACCCACAAGATGCTATTGAATTTATAGGGAAGGAATTCCAGAGCTGACTCTGCCCATGTATGGCCAAAACAAACTGTAAAAAAGCGACGTTATAGTACATCTGGGTTTCACTGGTACTGAAGCGCAGGAGGAGCCAAAATCCTGCACTGACAGGGGCTGTACAATTACCTCCAGCAACTAGGCAGAGGTCAGGGGTCCATGGCAGCAAGTTTAGTCCCCAGTACCACAGGTGACAGAAAACATGAAAACCTTTTCCTCAGAGGAATACAAAGCTTTCTACCTTTTAGAATAAGAAGCACATTTAACTTAGTGATACATCACTACCACTGTAAAAAATAAACCTTGCCAGGAAGCACCAGCCCATGTCCATTACACTGGTGGTTATAAAGGCAGCTTTAAAGAGACAACAGTCCAAGTGGCACTAAGTGATGCACCAGGGCAATGCCAACATGACACAGGCAGAGACTAGCTCTCAAGGGGCAGCTGATCAACTGTATTTCTAAAAACCCACTAGAACTTCTCCCAGAGCCACGCGCCTCAGCCAGCATCCAGGCCACCAGAAGCATTCTTCATGGTCAGAAACGGAGATGTTCTGAGCACAGTGGTAGAAGATGCTCCAAAAACAGGGGTAAGACGGGTCAGGTTTGACAAACTCTGACTCCATTTTCTAGCACCTTGGAGAAAACAATTCCCAAGGTACTGACTTTTGCAAAGATAAGCATCATGATGTAATAGAGAATAAGGTAAGTCAAGGAAGGGAACAAAAGCATGGTGGAGGAGCACTGGGAGAGCAGAAACCCCGTTCCAGGTGTGCACCAGCCCTCACTGCTCCTGCAGCACGAAAAGATCAAGGTTCTCCTTAACGGTTAAATGCCACTACCTCGCCTGCCCTGCCAGCGGGGGAAATACTAGCTGTGTCAGCTCAAGAGGCAAAGGGCTTACCGAACCGGAGAGGAATGCAGGCTGCAGTGGCACATGCGGCGGGGACAGGGAAACGAAACCCAGGGGGAATGCGGGCTGCTAGCGCTGCCTCTGCACGGGGGTCAGGCAGGGTACGTTTTACGGCTCCTGGGGTTGAAACCTGGGACTAATGGCTTCGTGACCTTAGAGGGACTCTCGTGCCAGAAACGAATATAGCTGTTAGAGGGGCTGGGAGCTCAGGGGCCTGAGCACATGAGGACAAGCTGGTTCTCAGCTCCTGGCAGGCAGCCCAGCGCTGCTTTTCAATAAGCACAACTCGTACCCATCAGACTGGGAGCGAGTGCACGCCTGAGCAGCATTTGCTGATGGGAGACCCACCATGCAGCTATTCTCCCAGCTTCATGTTCCCAGGGATTAGGATCCCTCCTTGGTTTGCCAGCTGAAAGGGCATTATACCCTCTCTCTCTTGCTACTGTACTCGCTTTAAACAGTGATATCTAAGCATGAGCTGGGGTTCAGTGCTTCTGCTTTAGGACACCTTCCACTCCAAATGACACGGAGAAACCAGAGAGACAAACACATCCATGTCCAACCACAGCCTAATCAGGAGCTCCCTGCTACATGGTACCACAAGTCCCAATCCTTGTCACAGCCCTAACCTTGGATATTCCAGGCCCTTGGGGGCCTGGGAATAAAATCCAACTCAAGCCTCCTGCACAGCAGTTCAGGCTGTTATCAATTGGCCACCAGGTTAGGCATGGCTAATTTCATTTAAATGACATTACATAAGCAGGACAACTGAGAATATTTCATTCATTAAAATGCCTTGAAGGGGCAGAGAGCACAACTTGCATGGCACACCCAACACAGGGATTGCTGCAACATCAAAGGAACACAGACCACGTAATACAGACAACAAGGACCAGGAATGCTCAAATGCACACATGCACAACTACGCACACATACGCCTCCTCCCCCAGCAAGCATAAAAGCAGACTTAGGACTTGCAAGCTGAAGTCCTGTGCAGCCAAAAGTTAGCACAAATGTTTGTGACAGTTCCACTTTGCAGGCAAAGGCAAAAACCGGGTGCAGAGGAATAAATATAGAAAGAAGTCGGGCACGCAAAGCAGGTGCTAGCTTGTAAAACCTTGGACAGAAAGGCTCCCCAGGAGGTTGAATCTGGTAGTTTTGCAACAGCTCCACAGAGAGACAGAAGAGACAGAAAAAGAAAAAAAAAGGAGAACATGAATGCATATGCATTCTTTTATCACCATATATAGTATATACAGACATTTGGTATATACACCCCCAGGCTCTCATACGCCACTGTATAGTATATACTATATATGCATTGCGCATCTTTGTTTCCATGTGCCTAGATTTGTACAGCATGTGTGTATATATATATGTATATATGTGCATTTCTCATGTGTGCATTTGTCATTACCCCCAACATCACCCATCCGCGTGTGCTGTCACACAACACACCACTCGACAGAGCACATCTAAAGCCTCAGCGCCGTAGTCTGAGATGACTTCTGAATGCTCGCAGCTTCTCTCTGCTGAACCCTTCCCCACCAAACCCTTTGGGTGCAAGCACCACCAGAGAACCACCAGTTTGTCTTGTATTTTCCAGTGACTCCACCCCCCCTCCACACTCTGATAGAAGAGGACTTTATTTTTTTTTTTTTTGCAGAGAATCACGAACAAGGTGCCAGTCAGAAAAGCCACATATCCTTCTGAGAAGTTGCCCCTCATGCCTGTGAAGTGTGTTTACGTACCGGTTCTCACTCTGCACAGCCTTTCTGGTGGGATGAACTCAGAGCAGGGCTTTTGGAGACACAGAGGGTTTCGTCAGAGTCACGACTTTGAGTTTCTTTCCCAGCCCTGCGAAGAGAGAGAGATACCCGTGTGATGCATGCTAGATGGGCCTCCTGACGACTTGTCTCCAAAACTTGCAGTTTAACCCACACAGCTTCTGGGAAACACAGCATTTTCCTCCCCAGCTTTCTTAGGCAGAAGCCTCCATACTCCTGGACTCCTTTCAGCACCCCCCAAAAGTGAGCATCACCACCTTGAACTGGGCCAACGACCAGCACAGGCTGCCAGCTGCCACAGCTTGGCCAACGACTTCCACCTTCTCAAGCCACAGCTCTTTTACTGCCCTTAATGCCCCTGAGGCATAAAGTAAGAGAACAGGGTATATCCGTCACTCATCTCTGTGACCTTGGGCACAGCGAGGGAGGTAGGAGACATCATTTAACTTGGTCTGAAGCTCATGGGGTTTACCACTACGGTGAGCAGAGACCCAGTTCAGCAGCCCTCCACCTCGGCACAGCCTTTTCTCTGAGCTGTTCTGCCCAATTCCCACTGGCGACTGCCTCACTCTTTCCTGTAACTGCAAAGCAGACGCGACCCTTTCTTGAAGGGACCGACTCAGTGTCGTTTTTCCCCTCTGCAGAAGATGAAGGTAGAGCAGAGGGGACAGCCAGACCACGCGACCGTGGCATGCCAGGACACATGGTGGGTGCAGCCCATGGAAACGGACAGCATCTGAATCGCACACTCCTTCCTGCCCTCGCCAGCAACTTGTCCCAGCCACATCCTGGTCGTTTTGATGGCCCTATCTCCGCTCATGACAAGAGCAGGCTTGCCTTGTCATCACCATTCAGCAGAGAAAGTTACTGCTATTTGACGCTGTAACGATGGAAATGCTCAGTTCAGGTTTGCACTTATTGTACCTGTGCTGTTCATGAGGGTGCATGTGAGCCCACAAGTCTACAACCAACATGCAGCAAAATGCAAAAGAATGCTGGTGGCTCACAGTCCAGGTCCATCCTCCCTGTCACACGGTGAGATGGCTTCCTGCCCCTGCCAGCACCCCTTGTCCTCCACACCATGCCTGATGCTACAGCGGCCAGGAGAGTAACAGGGCTCTCACCTCTGCCAGTGGTGGCAGATCTCCACTGCATCAACACTACAAGAGCACACCAAGGTCCACCCTGACCCAGGCATCACCTTCCCAGCTCAGTCCCATGGTCCCTGTGGTGGCACCCAGACCTGATTCCCCACAGGGCTGGGCTGGTATAAAAGTTCCCAGGACCCTCAACGCTCCCTCCAGGTGTGATGAGGACAAATTGAAATGGAGATTGCAATGGCCTCTCCCACTCACTGCAGGCTTGGGATGAAGATGAGTAACTGCAGGGTTTTATTGCCGGTGAACTCAGCCAAAGAGCAATTTCTCTCCATCCATCAAGGAGGAGACAAGTACAAGCAAATATTATGGTTGTGCATGTTTACTTTTCATTTTAAAATGATGTAGAGTTATATACAATTTAGGTCCTTCCCACAGGCTCCTGGCAAAACGCCCTTCAGTCTTATCTGCAAAGGCAGAAGACAACAACATTCCCTTCTGGTTCCAACACTGTTTCAATTCAACTAACAACAGCACCTCTGGGAGTTCCAGGTAAAACAATATTTCTTGGGACCCAACCTGTGTTTAAAAGATCTTGGCTCGGGCTTGTCTTTCACCGGGTTTAACTCAAGACATGTTTACAAGATCAGTTACAAGACTCAGCAGACTTGGCTAGTTGAACCACATCTTCCTGGCTTTACTTTCCACGCTGGCTGTCCCCATCATCCTGTGACTGGAGTTCCTGCGGCAAGGTGAGCAGGACCCCACATACCCTCCTTGAGGCACCCAGCTGAATTCTGCTGTGAAAACACTCTCCCCAGCAGCAAATGGGGCCCTGCATGGTCCTAGAGGGGCAGCAACCCACTGATGCCCAGGCACACATTCCCTTCAGGCCACACATCCACAGCTGGGCAGGACAGGGACAGTCTGACTGGTCACAATATCCACCTGAGCCCGTTTGTCAAACTATTCCATTTGTGACTCCATTTCTTTACCAGGAGGCTGCAAAGGTCAGTCTGGGTCTTTGAGCACAGAAATACCCAGAAGACAGATGCAGATGACAGACCCAAGGTATCAGAAAAGCTGCACACCTGGCTGCACCACAAGCCATCAAGCCACGATGCCACCACCAAATCAGATCTCTTCAAGACATTAACTCAACAAGCATTTCCTATTGGGGAATATTTCTTGAGACTCAAGGCCCCCAAACCCAAAGATCAGCAGAGCTCCTCTCCCCAGAGTTCCTCTTCTCAGCTGCCTGTACACATCCCTCAGCAAGGAACACCCCTGAGACCCTCGCACCAGAGAGGACTACACAGAGGTTTAGCAAAGCAATGCGTTAATCATGACAGTGCTGCTGGGGAGGCAGGCAAGAGATACAGATCTTGAGACACAGCAAGACCCAAAAAAGGGTCTGCCCCTTGCAGCCACACTCGCTCCTGCTTTGGCTCAGGTCAGGAAAGACAAATGAATGCACAGCACAGACATACTCCAATCACTGCCATTGATTCCAGCACAAGTCTTTCCCCCACTCAAGTTCCCAGAGAAACAGATGCATAAGGAGTCACCTCTGGGATTTATACATCCCCCACAACCTTTACAGAGAATATCCAGGTGTTTTTACATCAGAAATAGTAACAACAGGCGGGCTTTGAGTGCTACAAAACAGGTCCTCCTAGTTCAGAGCCACCGCAACAGATGCTCAGAGGTCTGTGCACAGCTAATTCTGATTTCCATCTTGCAACAAGGAATCCCATCTTTCTATCACAGTCCTGCAAGAGATAACAGCAGGAAAGTCTCTCTGGTAATGCAGCTTTACACTGCCGGGCTCCCATCTGGCATAACTCAGTGCGACTCTTGTGCCTCCAGATCACCAGCTACAGCAGCCGAGACTTCAGAGTCTGTATACACCTACGCGTACACATCTGCATCTTCATTTTTATGTCTAGCACAATACAGACCACTTATTTTAATGCAACACTTCAATAGGCAATTTATCATTTAAAAGGAATTTAAAGCAAATGCCCAAACAGCAGGAATCAGCTATCACAGTCAAAGCACTAAGTAGAGTCTCTGAACAAACTACCAGTACCAGAATTTACCAAAAGAGCACATCTTTACAAAAGATTGCTTTCTTCATTTGTGTCTTCCGACTAGTAAAAATTTAAGGTACAGCTCATAAAAAGCTAAGAAAGTGATTAGAATTTTAAAAAGCCATCAGAATCTGAAAGGAAAATAAGGTAAGAAGCCGAGATCTATGAACTCTAAAATCTTTAAAGATGTGATGAAGATGTGATAAAGATGTGCCACTCACTCACTGGCTGATAATACTGATGCAGTATTATCAACAGTAAAAATCAACATTTCTCAAGAAAAACAAAAGCAATACAAATATTACACATGTAGAGTATGGAAAGCAAGATTTCCTGTTTGCAGATTTGAATCTAAAAGCAGTAGTTTACAATGCCTGAATTAAAACATCAATCCTTTATTATAGTTTTAGTTTTCTTACATTGTTCTGATTTTTCAGAAATGGACAATTTAAAACCCTTGCAAGAATTTCAAGTTTCCAAGAAGTACAGTCAGCACTTTCAGAAAAACAGGCATCCCTAGCATAACTTTATAGTGGTCACTTAGAAATTGAAGTAACCAGACTCCCCAGCCCCTTTAAAAGACAATCTTACCTGCAAAAATAATTTCATCAAGTGCTAATTACACTTCTCACATAACAGCCTGGCTGAATGGCGTCTGGTTTTTACTACTCAAGAGTTGCGTTCACTTTTAAATCTCCTCTACACTTGAAAGCATTACCAATATTCAGAGCTTAATTTATTTTATTTTTTTTTTAATTAGTATGGCTATACTTGTAGAAGCCCAAGTGTGAAACCAGTTAAACTGGAATAAAGCAGCCTTGCGCTGGGACCCTTCATTCCTGTTTCTTCATGGAGCAGATGGCTCAGGTTGACCGTCACAATGAAAACTGTTGTTTCGACTGTTCCGGTCACCAATTTTTAAGCACAGACAAGCTCCCAGCAAGCCAGCCATCAGCACAAACTGACATGGGTCCCCCTCCATATGATTGGCAGGTGCATATACAGGTCCCCAGATGACAACCCTATTCAATCTGACCTTTTCATTTTAAATGAAAAACACTTAAAAGCCTGCCCTGTTCTGACATGTATTTTTACATTTTTCCCACACTGTACCAATATATTTGTTATTTGCTGCCCAAAGTCCCCAAACTTTGAAATCTCACGTTATCTCCTCTGCTGCCAGAGCCCTGACCCTCAGCTGTTCTGGCCACCACCAGTGCTGAGGGAGTTGTCTGAGGTCTCCACATCCTCACACATTGGAAAATCAGAACCCTTACACGCAAACCTCAATTCAGAGTCTAACCCTGACTTAAAATTCAGCTTATATACATGGGTAGCTTTACACTTGAACACAGCCACCCAGAGACAGTGACTGATCTTGCTATCCCAGGACACTGATGCCTGCGGGATCCAGCCCTGACTAATAGCTTTCTGTATTTGCTTCTCAGGTTTCTTTTATTAAAATTAAACTGCTTGATTCAAAAGTACACTGCTGAAGTTACCTAATAAAAAGATCACACAAGATAACAGAAGCTGGAGATGTGTTTCCTCCACTCTGCTGCCAGCAACGGCACCTGCTTAAAGAGTCATCAATACAAACAGCAAAAGCTAATACACCCGACTGCTGCCTTCTGAGAGGCCAGATCCTGTGTTGGTGTAAGGCAGCAACTATGCGAACAGCAAGTTTCAGTCTGCAAGGAAGCACACACCCCTCCAATATCGTACTTGGCATGGAGCTGCTTTCAAATCCACCACAACCCCATGTGTCAAAATTAGCCATAATGGGACTTACCACTTCCGAACTCCTGGTCCAGCCCTCACGCTGGAGGAAGGCTGATGCTGGCCGCAGCATGGACCGTCAGGTCCGATGGGGAAAATTA